TTTACAAATATTTTAAGGCACAAGGATTCTGTTAAAATCATCACTACCATGTGGTGGGCTTGGAGATGGAGAAACAATTACATTTTTTGATGAAGAAAAGTGGGATATTAACAAAACCATCCGCTATGTTTACACTAACCTATCAGACCTAAGCTTCATGAAGAAATCACACGGGATTAGTGATGAAAATAAACAATGGCATCCCCCAATTGATCTGTTCGTCAAGGTCAATGTGGATGGAAGCTTCAACCCATCCTCTAGCAGTATGACGATTGGTGGAACTATTCGAGACTGTAATGGCAAATGGCTCTTTGGCTTCTCGAAACACATGGGAAAAGGGGATCACATTTTAGCTGAATTACTCACCATTAAAATTGGCCTGGAGACTTGCTGGAACAAAGGTTGGAGAAATATCATATGTGAATACTGCCAAGAAGTCCTGAAGGGAATAATCGAAGGTGATAACCCGAGACACTTACATTTTGAGGTTATTGAAGAGATCAACCACTTCCGGAGAAGAACCTGGAATACTAAACTCAACTGCATAAATAGAGAAGCAAACAAGGTAGCAGACATACTTGCGAGGAAAACCAGCAGCGGAGGAGAGCTCACTTGGATGTCACCGCCTAATGAAGTGATTGAACAAATCATGTTTGATTGCATGGGAATTACATAGCTGTCTTGTCGACATCTACCATTCTTTTGGTATTTTCGTTTTGTGTTTTTGTTTTTTTTTAACTTTCCACAGTTTCCAAAGATCGAATGGTGAAACAACTTAGGGGAAAGGAAATTCCTTTGGTGAAAGTTATTTGGGGAGGAGCTACACCTGAAAGTGCTACTTGGGAACTAGAGGAGAAGATGAAAGCGTCATATCCATTTTTATTTGCTTCAGGTAATTTCAAGGACGAAATTTCTAAAAGGAGGAGAGAATTGTAACACCCCAGTTTTTATTTCATTTTTTTATTTTATTTTAATTGAGGGTATTTTGGTAATTTTTATAAATGTATAGAGTTGATTTAGTAGCTTGGAACGGGCTGTTCCGGAATTGGAACTTAGCAACAAGAGTAAGCAAGTTCTCTGTACAGTGACCATCATCAGCTCAAATGACAAACTTAAGGGCATCTTCAAATGCTATAATTATGGATTTCTGTAGCATATTCATTGTATTCAATATTATATCATACTTAATACTTTCATATTTTCCAGTTTAGTAAAATCTTGAATTTCTGAATACTATAATTATGAATGCAGGAATTCCTTCCAATATAGCTAAAATAAGCTATGGAGATAGCGTACGATAGTTTCTTCATCTATAGTATTTTCTCTTCAGATAGTTAAGAGTTGTAGGATTTCTTCATTATTTATACACCATAGAGGAATTATAAACATACATTGCTATCATAGCTTGAAATTGAATTTCATTTGTGTGCATTATTTAAAACTAAAGAACAGTTGAAGTTCTAGATACAGCATAATGTATGCATGTATTCCAATTAAAAAAAAACTATTGTAATTTCATCCTCCCAAGTAGGGGGTCACTCACATGTACTACAAGATGATGAACACTTCTCGTTCCGGCATTTAAGAACCCACACTTTAAACAAGTTACCTATGGTTTTATTAAAATGCACAAGTGTTACTAATACAAGCTAATGTTGCATCTTAGGTACAAAAGACAACAATTTTGAGTATTGAAATTTTGGTAACCATTTCAGCTGAAATCAGTTCCAGGCCCCAGGATGACAGATCCTCTTGACACCCTATTACTCATACAATGAAGACAGCTCAATTTTCCAGTTTGCATATGGCCTTTTGGCTAAATGGTAGGGGTTTTATTAGAGGTCGGTGCAATTTTAACAAAATTGGCCTATTTGTGATGTAAACAAAACCAAATACTTGTCAAAACATGGTTCCAAGCCCTAAACCCCAAATCCCGCAATCATTCACAATCCTCATGAAATCACTCACGAATTGAACAAAGCAACCATTAAATTCAATTCCATTTCGAAGTATTTCATCCAAAATATCTATAGAGGCATCCAAACGCTAAATTATCGCGATTGTTGGAAACGTTGGCCTTCGAATTCGTCCAAGCTCAAACGCGTGACTTTCTCGAACCGAAACCCCACTCCATCCCCTTAGTCCTCGCGTTCTTCCTCTTCCTCACATGGATCCCCCTTCGAGTGCAGCACGTCGCCCACAAACTCCTCCACTCCTCCGCCTCCGACCTTCGCGACGCCGCCGCCAGCCTTGTCCGCTTCCTCCCCTCACGCGCCGCCAAGGACAACCACGACTGGCTCTTCGACCCCATGACGCTGGCCCTTGCTTCCGGCCTCAAAGGTACAAATCAAACAAATCACGTGCGCCTCGCTTCATATGTGAGAAATTCGAGCCAAGAAATTGAGAGGGAATCACAGACACCACGATTGTAACGAGACTTTCCTCGTTTGGGACGATGCCACCAAGTCTAGGTAAACAATAAGCATTTAACCTTCTAATCAATTTTTTTTTTTTTACACAAAATATTAAAAATGGGAAATTGGAAATTTTTAGATTAAATTATCTAACAATAAGTTTTTGATTTTTATTCTTTTAAAAATAATATAGAAAAATAGTTGTCATGTGTGACATGAAAAGGTAGAACAGGAATTTAAAGATTGTAACAATTTTAAACCGCTAAAAATCTAATTCTTTTGTAACGATTAAAATAAACGGCCAAAATTATAATATTTTGTGGCGATTTTTTGAATTTGCCAGAAAAAAAACCCAACTAATTACATTTTTTTTAAAGGTTCATGAAGGCTCTTTCAGTACTTAAACAAATTAGGGTTGACCAAAATTAACTGAATTAAACTAAACTATTAAATAACTAAATTATTTTAAACTAAAAAAACTATAACTATTTAAGATAAAACTGAATTAACTATTTTTTAGTTCAATTTTTAAAAACTGAACTTATTAAGTTATAGTTCAGTTTACTCTAATTAACTAAAAATATAAAATAAAAGCATGGACATAGGCCACGGCATGGCACGGTTTCAATTTGTAAATGCAGAAATGTGGGTCTTCACATATCGAGTCTTCACATTTCAGCCACAACCAAGGTTTCTAAATCATAAATCGCAAGCCTCTTCACATTCCAGCAAGCCACGGGCCCACGACACGGGGTTCCTGATTCAGCAGAATCAGCACTCCTTCCTCACTCACAGGCAACCACGGATTCCTCCTTCCTCACGCACCAAGTCACCAACCACATATTCTTTCTTCTTAGATAAAAAAAACAGTTCAGTTTAGTTTAATAGAATAAAAAATAGATATAACCATCGCAAAATCGTCATTTTCTGTAGTGGTTGACCGTATTGTTGAATGCGCTACTACTACTCCTAGTTAGTTGGAGCACTTTTAGCGCCAAAACCCACCTGAGTTTAAGGAAGGGTTGATGACCCTGATGGTGCTATAAGATGGATGACCAAGGTGGAGAAGATCTTCGCTACTATGGAGTGCCCATTGGTCCAGAAAGCAAGTCTGGCAACCTTCTTACTGGTGGATGATGCTCACTTCTAGTGGGAGGGAGCTAGGCAAAGGATGGTGGGTGCTGGTGTAACACCTTAATTTTAATATTACTTATTTGTATAATTTTCTGTAAATTATTATATGTTTTATTGTAATAAATATATGATAAATATTATGTAAGTTTATTGTGAATGAATTTTATGTAGTGTTTTTCAGTAAAAAATTTTAAATCCAGTGACATGCATTTTATTGTCAAATTTGACTATTTTTTGGACAATGCTGTGAAACGCTGTAAAATGTGAGAAATTAGATTTAAGAAAATTTAAGCAATCTATAACTTAAATGATAGTTTATTAAGAGTAAATTAAGAATAAATTATGAGAGAAAAACTTAAAATTAAAATTTACCAAAATGTTCTAAGAATTTAACTTACAAAATTTATTTTGCTAAAATATTAAATTAGAAAATTATAGAAAAATGTTCAATATTACACATAGGATTTTATCTTAATTGTATTATGTTTAGAATAATTAATATAATTATCTAACTAAGAAAAAGTAAAATATAAATTTCAACTAATCAAATTGTGATAAGTAAAGAATTTTTAAATAATTATAATTAAAATAATTAGGAGATAATTAAAAGGTCTATTCCTATGTTTTTTGGATGAGGAATTTAATGGTAAATTTAGTTTTTCTAATGTTAATTAAATTGTGAGATAATGAAAGGATTTTTAGAATATTTTGGAAAAAACTATAAAATTCTATAATACTTTTTGTGTGTTTATTTATAAATTGTTTAAATTTCTTTATGTAGTTGTATGATTTTCGTTTAACATGAAAAAATTAAATATCTAACCCCATAAATGTTTGAAATCCAAATGCTATAGATTTCTTGAAGGAAGATAATAAGAATCAGAGTTAGATGTCAGATGCAAATTCCAGAGCTTAGGATGGGGAGTTTTTTGATAAGTTATGATAAATACATTAGAAATATTTTGTAATTTTTAGTAATTTTAAATTAAAATCTTTGTAAAAGTACTATTATACAATAGAACTTTATTTAGAATAATTATTTGCGTATTTTAGTATCTTATCTATTCATAATTATAGAAAAGCTTATTAACCTTATTAATTAAATGGGATTAATATTTGTAATTGTCAGAATAAAAAAAAAATTTGATTTTGCCCAAAGTTGGTTTGGACCTCCGTTTGAAAATCTAATTGGTTAGGGAATGTCCAGAAACCAAACTAATCCCTAATCAATGATTTTAGAAAAGAGTTTGAAAGAATTGCTACCGATATTTTACACAAAACATTGAAAAAAGGAAAAAGTTTTTGCAAATCAATTATGGCTTTCATAGCCAGAATTGGGTTCGGGGTCAATTACGTATAGGAAAGGTATTAGGCACCCTACAATGCCTATATCGGTATCTTATGATGAAATTAACATAATAGTGAATAAAAGTTCAAATATTTAGTCTCATTTATTAATGGTTATTTACATGCTTAATTCTAAATTCATACAATTAACACTACAAGAAAATTACATATTAGCGAGGGACTATTCCCTCGCTATTTCCTCTCTAATCTCTCGCTAATCAGTTTTGCGACGGAATAGTGATGAAATTGCGAGAGACCATTCCCTCGCTAAATACAGGTAGCTAATTAGCGAGGGATTTCATCCGTCGCCAATCCCTCGCAAAATCCGTCGCCAATCCCTCGCTAAGGCCCTCGCTAATGATATTAAGGATGCTTACTATTTGCTCGCTAATTTGCGATCAAGCTTCCCCGCTATTCCCTCGCTAAGGGGTCACAAAATTTTGTATTGAGCCAAATTGCAAATGTAGTGAGTTTTAGCAGTCTAGTAAATGCACAAAAAAAAATATACCATAAAAAGCGGCTCAAAGGCCAAACGTCTAAGACCAGTAGAATTGTATAACCAATAATTTCATTGAAACATGAATAATGCAAACCTAAATAAGACCACGGTATAATGTAACCTGTTCCCCTTCTCGCAATCCTACCTCGATATTTTGTGCATTCAGCCGAAGCTCAAACTCATTCGCCAGTCGAAGCATAACTTCGATACCGAATTCACAGAAAACTCAATGCCAATTAAAACCAAAACACACAGTTACATAATCAATCACCTAAAACTCAAAACTCAAAACAGCATCATTCAAACATTAAAATCGCAAAAATAAGTAAGCCCCATAGCTTCACACTCACAACACCGAGAAGAACAAAAAACTCAAAACCAAAACAACTAAAAAGTTTACTCTAAAAAAATATCTACAATAATATAAACAAGCAAAACACCGAATTTCAAAAACCACATCGAAATCGCATTCAACTTGCCCCCTTTCGAATCCGAAGCAGAAAACCCTAAAAATAAAATAAAAGAAAAAGAAAAAACCTCAAAAAATTACCTGCAAAATATCTCTTGGCGCCGGTTCCAGCGAAACTGGAAGTAGAACCCGAAGCTACGCAATCAATTAAAGTTAATAAAGAAAAAATCAGAACAAATATGGATAGAGCAAATGAGGAATACCTAACAGAGAAGGAACAAATATGGAAGCAGAACCCGAAGAGGAGTTTAGGTTCTTCGTTGAGCAATTGAGGGATGAGAAGGAACAAATTAATATTGGACCGTTGCTGCGTGTAGAAGGAGCAAATGAGGAATACCTAACAGAGTGTTGTTGGGCACGGGACTGTTGGGAGTGTTGGGCTTTGGGATGAGATTCTTGAGCTTAAATAATTATAATATTTATCTTAAAAATAATTATTATCAAATTATCAAATTTATTATCAAATTTTTAATTATTTTCACATCCTATTAACATAATTAAATAATTATGTTAATAAATAAAGTTTATTTATGTTAATAAATAAATTTTTTAAATAATTAAATAATATTTATCTTAAAAATAAACATTATTAAAAT